CTCTAGTGAACCCATGTTGGTTGCCCCTAAGCATAATCTCCCCTGCTGGCCCCTTGTGGACATGTGCCAGGATAGTTCTCTCAAAAAGCTTACCCAGGATTGAGGTAAGATTGACATGGAGTGAACTGTTCTCCACAATGCTGTCTGGTGGCCAAGTGCATGTTTCCACATACATGCACATGGTGCCCCCTGAGTCCCACTTCCCACAGCCTCTTGCAGGCTGAAACTGCCTGCCTACAAAGGGGAACCTGTGGTTTCCCAGGTTTTTCTCCTGTAAAGTAGAAAATCCGCATCTTTCCACTGCACACAGAAAACCCGGATCCCTGCTCATGAATCCTGGCACAACCAGAAAGGGCCCAGCCACACTGCATTGCTTAGTTTATTTCTTTGCATTATGCCTCTCTTTTGAGAAATAAATTTGATCCAGGTGTTCAGCCACAATGACTGGATGCATAAAATAGCATGTATTTAAATAACAGAAGATATCTTTTCAGAGGCAAAGAGAGAGAGTAGAGGAATTCTGTTGTCATTAAGTTGCAAGAGGTTTTGATTGCACCTGAAAATACTTCATCAGAGAAAAAAATGATTTTATATTTCCAAAAGGTCCTCTGTAGTTTACTTACCACATTTTCTCAAATATTGCATTTTACCGAGCATCCCATAATGTGAGTCATAGTATATACGTACTGGCACATAACCATGCTAAACTCTACAAAATTGGCTGGAAGTGAAAGAAAACAACAGGCTGCTTTGTGTTTCACTTCTTAGTTGCTTGTTTAAACATTTTGAGGGTGGGAAGGAAACAACTTTGATTATTTCTGTTTTGTAAAGTAAAAAAAAAAAGGTCACATAAACACTTTTATTCTTTTGAATAATACTGTTACCAGGCTTCATCATACAACAGCATCACAAGCATGCAGCTGTAGCAAAACGGTTAGCGATGAAAAATATCAGGACCCTTTTAAACTTGGTAGCAAAGACCTGGAGAATCTCTATGAGGATATTAAAAAGGTGAGACATCTTGATGAATGCTCTAGAACAATCAAGTGACTCTGACTTACAAGGTTTTTATTTAATATCTCCTAAATCTTAAAAAATTGAAGTAAGATTTATCTTGATATCATACTTATTTGATTATTATCTGATTCCCTCTTAACTGTAAAATAAAGTTGAGGAGTACATCATTACAAGCTTGATGATATTACAAGCTGGGCAGGGGCTGGAGCCACCATGTGCTCCGTGCCCTCCCTGGGCCACAGCTTGAGCTGTGACTGAGGGTTTATGGCAAGGACAGGAGGTAGCACATGGTGCAGGCACAAGGGGGCACAGGCACTGCATGGGTGCAGTGAAGGCATCAGCGGGAGTGGGCAGGCAGCACAAGTGGAGGGGAGCACAGGCAGCAGGGGGCAAGAGGCTGGGGTCAGACTGGTTGATTTACCCCACCACCTGCTCCCCTGCCACTGCTTGCCTCTCCACTGCTGCTTTGCCTATAGCAGTGGTGGGGGAGACAAATTTAAGATGACCTTCCAATAATTAGATTCTATACATGGAGAATTATAACATTTTATAATCTTGCAAACTCTATTTCACAGCACTATGAAGCAATCTTTTTTTTCAAGGCAGTATGAAGAGTTGCTCTAAACTACGTACTGTGAAGAGCAATAAAACCAATTCCAGCATACATTGAAGAAGCTAAAAACAGACCACAAACAGAGGATTTGATTGCATGTTCCTAATATTCTGTTCATTTATATCAACAGGTCAATTTTGTAATTTTGATATTGATATTTTCTTTTGGCTTGCAGGAACTACTTGTATGTACAGCAGAACTTAGGGAAATGTGTGAATATTACTTTGATGGAAGAGGGAAAGCCTTTCGACCAATGATCGTGGTGCTAATGGCAAGGGCATGCAACATTCATTACAATAACTCCAGGTGAGTCTTTTGGTCTTGAAATTTATATATGGGAATGAAAAAATCTGATAAATCTCAAGTTTAAAATTCTGTGAAATGTGTCCAGTAACCTTATCAAAACAGCAAGGTCACCTGCAAAATTTCAGTTTTGCTTCCCATTGCTAACAGAATTTCATCCTCATGACATAATAAGCTACTCATGAAAATTAATAATTTTTGTATGCATGTTTCTGGGAGAATTGTGACATGTACTGTTGTTTTAACAGTGGAAGGGTAAGTAAGATCCACAGTTACACTATTTGAAAGGATTTTGGTCACATCTTGCTATATAAATACTTCGTTACTACTTGTACCACTGTGACCCAGTTCACACTTCGTCAGAATTATTTGGCAATTATATAAGCATCCCTATAGTTAACAAATTCTTCTCTGATAGAAGTTCCTTGTAGGAGAGACACGTTTTTTGTAATTGAAGAAGATAACCCAGGAAGCAATTGGTACTTTTCACGTGTTCTGAGCAATGAGATGTATTTTCTCCAAAGATGTCACTGGTGCAGGATTTTCACTGCCATGTATTTAGATTCTTAGCTCAAGGGAGTGGTATTATTTCCTGAAGTCTTCGAGTTGTGTGCCCTTGAGAGCACCTCTAGTAGAGCAGAGTTATGAGACCTGCTGTCTACAAGCTATTGGCATATTGCCAATGTTAATAGTAAACACTTTGCTCACATATTCCAGGCACTTCCTTCATGTCAGCATTCATGGAAGATTTTGACTGTTAGTGGGGTAAGAGGAAGAGTTAAAACAGACCTTTCTGCCTTCCATTGCTTCTCGTTTGGAATTCTGAATTTAAGTCTCTTGCCTCCAGGGATTCTCTGGTGTTTCACTTGTTTTAGCATTTTTTTTTTGTCTGGCTTTCTTCGGTCTGGCTGTTCTCCTGGTATTCAAGTAGAAGAAAGATCTCTTGGAAATGTCCGTGACACGTGATTATGCTCCCTGTATTGGTTAAAGGAGAGAAGGCAATGGGTTGTGTTGAAAAGGAAAGAATCAGGGTGTCAGGAGGTTACTAGTGGAGTTGCTGAAGTCATCTTCAATACAGAGGAAGTTTGGGACATCATGCAGAAAAAAAACTGGATAATCTGAGGATTGGAGTAAAAAAAGTAAGATTCTTTTTAATAATACAGCTGCAAGGTGATACTATTAAAGACTGATAACCAAGACTTCCACTATGACCTGACAGAATTGAGATGTAGATGGGCCTGGACATACCAGTTGGTCACAGAGGCTGCTTACGGACATGGAAGAAAAACAGTGCTTTAAGTTGTGTACACCCCCACACCAAGTGGAGCACATGCCCAGAAGAGGTATTGCATTATTTTGACCCAGCTTACCCAACGTCTGTGTCGATTACATGCTTCAGTGGGATTTTTTGGTGCATTTATCTAATAGTTGATTGAATCAACTTTAGGTAAAAACAGCAAAAAGTCCTGCTGAAGCATGTGATCTATTCAGATGCAGGAGAGCTGGGTCAAATTAAGGGACTTTCTCTTCCAGTAAATAAAATGCTGTTTTGTTTTTTGGGAAGCGCCATAGTGGGGAGGGTTCATGCCTGCTTTTTGTGGGCAGGCATGGGGGTTCATGTCTGTCAGCAGCCACAGTGGCTAAGTTACCAATGGGATATAGTTGTGGGAAAGTTAAATGTGATCCTAGGATACTTCTAAAGATGTACTTCAAGAGAGAGGGAACAATTTGAATTATCGTACAAGAGGCTGGTGAGGCTTCACCTGTAACACTATGTAGAGGTCTAGTTATCCACACTTAAAAAAAATAAGATTATTGTCCTTTGAAGCTTTTAAGCACACAGAGATACATAGGCATGGAAGGGACCTGGAATTGAAATGAACAAATGTAGAGGAAGGCTACTAGAATGAGAGGAGGCTAGAACTTGGTTTGTTTCGTCAAGTTGGGTCAAGTCAAGTCAGTCCTGAGGCCGCATCAACCTTTGGGGCATCTTTGATGTAACAATAACTTTTTTTTCCCCATTCTTCCTGGTCTTTTGCAATCCTTGTACAATCAGTTGGTTTTAATCCCGTCCAGTCTTTGATGTTGGTGGCCCAGCTTGTCCTAGGTCTTCCTCTTCTTATTCAACCGTCCACAGCACCCTGCAGGATGGTTTAGTCTAGCAAAGTAAACAAACCCCTTGGTTTGTTTAGTCTGCCAGAATGAAGCCTGATAGGGAGTATGATTGTCTGTAAGTACACTGAGGGTCAGGGGAGGGAGAGGAGCTATTTAAGCTGAAGGACAGTGTTAGCAAAAGATTAAATGGGCATGCATTGGCCATGAAGGAATTTGTTTCAAATTAGGTGGCTGCTAGCCAGTATAGCAATTTCTGAAGCAGCCTTGCTGTCAGAATAGTGGGAGCAAAAATCCAAAGTAGTTTTAAAACGGAATGTACGAAAGGGATTGTATGACATGGTGCCTCTCATAACAAAGGAATGGATTTGATGACCCATAAGTTTTCTTCCAGTTCCCATGTTCCTATTTGTCTAAAGCTTAGCAGAGTGATTTGCGGTATTGGTTTATGCTCAACAATGAGTTCTCAACGAGGACTGAAATGAACCCTAAAGTACCAGCCTACAACTCATGTCAGCCTGTATATTATTTCACAGTACAGTACCAAGTGTTTTCAGTGCCAACCCAGATTGTGATGATCAAGACTATACTCCCAGAACATAAGCGCAGATCATCAAACTGGTGTCCCTAGCATTTTTTGCAGTGTTGATTTCAGTATGGGCTGCGCCTCATTACTCTCTGAACCATTTGTGATATTTCACTTCTTTCACCTGTGTTGACATAGACTAGGTAACTCCTTTCCTTGGTCTTCATTCCCTTGGAATGATATGCTGGGAAAGAAAATCACAATGCTTTGGAAGGGTAAAGAGAATTGTTGGTTTGGAAGGGACCTCGATTCATCTAGGTCCAACCCCTTGCAAACATGCAAGATGCACGTTCCTAAACCGTCCCAGTCAAATGCGTATCCAGCCTCCTTTTCCTCATTTTTTCCATGTTCCATCCCTATTTCTCTCTAATAGATCTCTGTAAATGTATGCAAATTTGTCCACAGTGCACTGTTTCCACTCCACAGATGCTGACACATTTTCATGGTGGGAGAGACCAAATCAAGGAATAAATTTGTTTTATTTTTGAGAGATCCCCTTCTATCGGTTGACCATGTTCTGCATGGAATTTCTAGCTTTATGATTCTTCTAACAGCATATTGCAGATGATACTAAATTTTGGGAGCTTTATTAGTCATTGCGTACTATATACTAAGTACATACAAACACATACTTTCTATTCATACTGTTGTGTTGACTTATCACTGATTTGTACAGCTGTGCTTTCATTTCCTATTGGTGAATTATTTGTCAAGCTTGGTTTGGTTTTGTTTTTGTTTGTTTTTAAACTATCCAGGTGTGAAAATCCTGTGCAGGTGGCACCTAAAGAAAAGAATATTGCTTTCTGGTCATTCCATTTCTGTTTTCTGACAGCATTAGCTTGAAGGATTTTCATTTTCCCTCCAAGTTTGGAACTTTCTTTTTTGGAAAGTGCAGAAGAAAAACATTATCTTTCTTCTGAAGCACATTTAAATTTATTAGTCTTATCTTTATATCTGAATTTTCTTTTCTTTTGTAGGAACTTCAGACCTCCATACAGTGCAGGAAACTAATTGGAACATTATTAGGGGTACAGCATTTGTATCTGCCAGGGGAGGGAGAACATGAGTAAATTAATTTTGGTGCCTGATTATACTTTACCCTGCCACTGCTTCTGTTAAAGATCAGCACATATTGAGAGCAGGGCTATTTTTATCAACTCTCTTGACTCCAACTTTTCTATCTTCTCCCTGCCTTTGGTGACTATTACTGCTGCTGCATATCATTACCTTTCAGTCCCAATTTTTTCATGGTCTTCTGGATCCTACCTGTTTTTCCCTTTCTTGGTAAAATACGATTCTTTTAGCTGCATAAATAACGGTAGGAAGGGAAAGGGTGCCTGCATGTTCTTTTAGATGCTAGAACATCAGACAAAATGTTATGTCCTTAACCTGTAGGGTGATCTTGATTCTGGTGTCTGTGCAGAACCTTACTGGAGTCACTGGGGCCCCACACACAGACACAGCGCCACCCACATAATGCCTGTCCTTCAAGCTGTTCTGTGGTTGTACCATTTAGATGAAGTGACTCTTAAACCATTCTCAATGGATTACCTTTGCTTTGTTTTTCTTTAGGAAGTTCACTTTATTGTGGCTGCTGAAAGGAAAATGGTACGTTCAGGTTCCTTGTGTCCTCATTACAGAATCAGTGAATGGAGCACGTAAATTGTTTTGTGCTAGTGTGATTTTCCTTTTCCCCTTAAAGATCCTGTTGCCATCAATGCAAGTCCCAGTAGTTAGGTTCCTTGTGCCGTAGTTTCTTATTTTTTAATAGTTGAGACTGTATTGCTTTGAGTGCTGGAATCCTGGGAAGGGGTCTTAATTTGGGATTGTGTGAATCCTGTTTTCACACATTTCCCCTATGTTTCTTCACACAACACCTACAGAAATACTCAGCATCATCACACACCCTGGCTGGGCCCATGTTCTGCAATCTACAGCTTTCCCTGCTATAATTTTTAAGTAGAAATATATTTCAGATGGGCTGAAATAGGAGACAAGGTAGGCAGCTGTAGAAATATTAGGGTGGGAGGACCGTTTGAGAAAAAGTTACTCACCAGAGAAACAGACGTACCCTTCAAAATTGCAAGAGAAATCCTAAAGTACTATTGCACCTAGTGATGCCTTTGCCACTCGCCAAACTAGGGTTCTTACTAGGGGTGCACCGATAGAGATTTTGGGGACCAATACCAATAGCCGATATTTAAGGAGGCATATCAGCTGATTAATGATCTGATTTCTGATACAGCTGCCTGCAGCTGGTAAGTCTGTTGTGGTGGAAGGGGTGTGGGTGGCAGATCAATGCCCCCTGCAGGAGGAAGGGGACAGGGGTAGACGTTTCCCAGCTGGGGTGGGACAGGGCGTGGGATAGAGCTGCGGCCCGGAGGGGGCGGGCTGGGGCAGCTTCTGCCATTCCACGCACCTTGGGGGGTGGGGGTTCATGTGCCCCAGATCTGTGTGGGGTGGGTAAGCTGGTGCTGGGGCTGTGCCAGGCTCTTCTCAGCAGAAGCACTGGGAGAGGGGCTACAGAGGGGGCTGCTGCCACCCCAGATTTTGCCATAGCCCCCTCGTAGCACCACTCCTAGCACTGCCCGCCCAGCAAAGCCCCGGCTCTTTCTGGCGGATGGGTGGAAGCAGGGGGTTAAACCAGGGCTGTGCCAGGCAGGCAGCAACGGCACTGGGAGCAGTGCTACGGGTGGAGGGGCCTACAGCAAAATTTTGGGGTGGCTGCAGCCCCCTTCATAGCCCCCCTCCCAGCACCCCCACCAAGAAGAGCCCGGTTCTAGCCCACAGCTGCAGCCCGCCCACCCCACACAAATCTCGGGCACACGCCATCCCAGGGTGCGCCCAGCGGTGGGAACTGCCCACCTGCAATTAGCCGTGGCTCCATCCCATGCCCCGCCCCACCCCAGCTGGCAGCGCGTGCCCCCTCCCTCCTTCACCACAGGGGACATTGATCTACCTTCCCACACCCCTTCCCTCCCCTATCCCCTTCCACCACAACAGACTTACCAACTGCACGCAGCTGGGCTCTGCTTCTCATTGCCTGAGTGCTGCACTGTGGCTATATGCAGGCACAGGTATTTATTGGCCAAATTATTGGCTACTTCCAGCCAATTTCTGATACAGCCAATTTTCTTTATGTGGGTACCAGTCCAATATTGGACTGATGTATCGGTGCACCTCTGGTGCTTACTCTCTCTGTTCCTCACCAATGCACAGTATCAGTGTTCTTTCATCTCCCCCATTTGCCACAGTGATGCCTACATAGTGTGCTGCTTGTTCAGCTCTTCTGCATCAGGCAGCTGCCCTCACAACTTCCCTATTCCGTGCTTCCCCAGCTTTCCTTTTCCATTTACCTCTGGCACAGTTTTGAGTGCTGGTTTTCCATTTTGAAAATGCCTACTTGCTAAATATATACTGTATTTATGTAGTTTTACACTGAGAACTGTGTAAAAATGGCGCCTTCATACTAAATAAACTTGGGAGCATCCAGTTACCTGCTGACCATCACTAAAAGTGTGTTCCTCTGTTTGTATAATAGTAGAAAATTGCTAACACTGAACGATCAGGATTCTATTAATCCTTAAGCATCATAAACAAAGTTCAGTATGTCCCAGTCAGGTTTTTTTCGGGCATTTGACAGGTACAACTTGACCTGCAGAACTTTATTACTGTAATTAACGTGTAGGATTTGAATTTGCAAAAATAATAGTTTAAAAAACATTTTTCCTGTGTAAAATTAGTACATTTGATATGAAAACCAAAAATACATTTCACACAAACTGTATAATACCAGTTTTAGCAACTTTTCAGAGAAGAACTACACATTAATATGGAACTTTTCAAAACTTGCTTTTGGAATGTCTGTCATTGTGCTGTCTCCATACCACTGATGAGTTCTCGGGTATCTCAGTACATGATGCCATTTTACTGCTGCTTCCCAGCAGAAAGTCCAGTCTGCTGACATAGTTATGACAAGGGGAGTTCCAAGCATAAAAGAGGATGGCGACTTTTACAGTTGTTTTAAGGTGCGTGCTGCTCTATGCTAAAAATAATTGTATGGAACTAAGAAAGCTTTTAAACACAATATAATTTACCTTAAAACAGCTGTAAAAGTCTCTAGCTTTTCTTTTTCTGCTGAGAAACATTTCCTTTTTTCACAGTTTCTCCAGGCCACATCCTGCTATTGTTCTGTATGCACAACTTCTCACTGAAAGCAATACAGAGTTTTCATAAAAATAGGTGTCAGGATGCAGTTTTATCACCACACTGGCAAGAAGTCACCTTCCAGTTCCATTGTTAATATTTGCATTTTAATATATATGCAGACAGTGTAGGAAGTTTTAAATGCCTTTATACTTGGCTGAATGATTCCAACATCTTGTACATTTTTCCCTTTAATTTCTCATAGTCCTGGAAAGTAGTTTAGCTTTAGCTTCCTTCTGCTGGAAGAGCAGCTTGGCACCTTTGAGGAATAGAGTAATTTGCAGTTGTCATTCTTCATCCCCAGCTAACCATGTCTATGTCTGTTCATAACTTGTCCCGCACCAGTCTTTTTTTTAAAGTAACTGAGCTATTGAAAGTTGACTCATTGGCATTGGATCATCCAAAATGGTTTATTGGGTCACGGTGTGGTCTTGATCGGGAAGTGTTTACAGCCCTGTTCTGATGTGGTACGTGATACAGGGTAACTTCTGTCTTCTTGGAGTTTTACTCAAAACCTTAGAAAAATCAACCTGTGGAGTCTGTTCTGTGTTCACTGAATCTAGAATGCAGATTTCTAAGCCTGCTGTGGTTACCTCTACAGATACTAGTGTGTTGTCAACCAGCTTTGGAGAGTTTGCGATTCAGGCCTCTCAAGGGTGGAGCACAGCGAAGGTAAGGGAGACTGTAAAGGGTCTGCATACCTGACCGCTGAGGTCCCCCTTTGAAATTGTCCTTCTGGAAGACTGGCAGGCACTCTTTGCTGTGCTCCAGAGTGGAGCCTTCTTGGAACCATGAGCATGTGATCTTGTACTTTATTAATACCCTTTGAACATATTGAAACACAAAAGACAGCTCATTCTAGCCCTGGAATTATGACCAAACTTTGGAGAAAGTGGTTGCACTGTAGCTGGACACCAAATAAATAGTGTTCCTTTTGCTCTGTTTTATTTTTAATCTCACCTATAGATTTTTTTTCATTCACAGAAATATGACTGGGAAAACAAGGTTAATATAGACAAGTAGTCTATATTTTTTCCTCTTGTACACTTCAAACTCAATTTACTTTGCATGCAAGGTTTTCAAAAATTGTACCTCAAAAATTGCTAGTGGTAATTGGAAATAGTACAGTAATGTTCATAAAAAATAAAAACAGACTAAAAATGGTACCTCATCGTAGAACAAATCTGTTGCATTACATTCACCCTGTTTTTATTTGCTTGGATGGCCAGGCATTGGTGTGGGGGAGTGAGCCGACTGCACTTCAGGTTTGTGGATCATTAGCAAGAGTAATCTGAGTTCCAGTTCTAAAGTCAAATTCTATCATCCACTCCTATTAAACCCCATCCGTGTTTTGAAGGTCATCTGTGTACACAGGTGCAAATGAAATTGAACTTAACCCAGAGGATATTAAGTCTTTGAGAGTTAATCAGTACAGAACCTCACTACCTTTTATACTGTTGTGTTCCAGAGGCGACCTGCACTTAGCTCTATGTTTGTGTTTGTGGTCTTTTTGTTTTTTCTTTCAGTCAACTCGGATTATTAGGACTTTGGGACTGGAATTGCTTGTTAAATAGCTTAGCCAGAAGAAACAATAAAACAACCAAAACAAACCACTTTATAAGGTTTTCATAGAAGACATATTGTCACGTCAAGAACACTGTCATGGACTCTTTGAATCTAGTTCTGTTACAGTGGGGACAGATTACACTAGATTGTTACCTATAGTAGCAGTGCAGGAATAAAACCATGGGGCACTTTGAGGGTGTATCAGTAGGGAAGGCTATAGGAAAGGAAGGGGAGCTTTTAAACTGATGCTGAGTGCCTATACTGAAGGGAAAGAGAGAGAGTATGATCTTTCCCATTGACGTCGGTGGCATAACTTCCATTAACTTTGGTGTTGCAGAATGGAACCATGTAAGATTTGGTTACATCTCTTCAAATTGTAGTAACAAGTTGCAGCCGTCCAATTAAAATTCTCTGATTTTGCTTTTGTCTCCTTTTACAAGGCTTGGAAGGTAGAGTAACCCATGATAGATTCATGAAAAATCCTTATTGAGAAATAAGTCTCCATCTCATCTCTAACAAAAACCTTTTCATGAGTGTATTGAGGTATGCTTGATTGATGGTCAAGAGTTGGTTTGTTTTTCTGTTTTTAGGGAAGTACAGGCAAGCCAACGCTCCGTGGCCATAATTACAGAGATGATTCACACTGCTAGTCTAGTTCATGATGATGTTATTGATGAAGCAAATTCTCGGCGAGGAAAAATGACAGTTAATCAAATCTGGGGAGAGAGAAAGGTGAGTTGTTTTATGCAAGACTTATTTTCAGGTTCTGACAAAGTAAAGACTCATATGTTTTGGTCACATTGCTAAAGATTTGAGATTGGAGCCTTGGTAGTGCAGCATACTTCATGGTAGAAGCTGAAAATGTTTAGAAAAAGTTGGGCAGCCTTAGGTGGTCATATAATTCCTAGTCATATAATTTGTAGACCAAGTGTTTCTACTCCTGTCTTTTCAAGGTACAGGGTGCCTTTCTCAGACACCTCTTTCTGATTTTAACCACTCTATGCCAATGGTGTCAAACTTACCTTATGCCCTAGGTTGAATCTGAAGTGAGGGCTCCCTACAGGTTGGATCCAGATCAGTGCATGAAGAAGCTGTGGCAGCAGCAGTAGCTTTGCAGCTTCGTGAACTAGATGCAGTCCTTGCTCAATTCAACTCCCATTAGGACTTGTTGAAAAAATATGAAAGTGCACCTTTTTAAGCATTTTCTATATCAGTTTTCCTGGTTTCAGTAATAAGCTAGAAAAGCTTTTAAGCTATCATGAGCATTTTCAGATTGTAACATAATTAGTTTAATTTAAGATTTTTAAGGTCTTTGCTTGTGTCACTAACTTGCAAAACACCTAAAGTCTCTCTTTATGGTGCATATTATTCAGGAAATATTTAAGAGGAGAAGGATAAAACTGACACTTAGACTCAAAAATCCTTCTGTGTCTACTGAATGGCAGCATGTAATAGTCATGGAGATGTTTCCTCATTTAGCAGAGGAATGCATGTTCATATGTCACATTCTCACTGCTTGCTATGTTAGTTATAGCAAAAATCCAGGGAACAGTATAAAATTTAAATAGCATGACTTTTTTTCTTCAGTTTTCAATAATATGCATCAATAAAGGAAAATGTTATGATGGGACTAGCCCTGCAAAAACCGTAAGATTATCCCAATTGTCATTTATGTGAGCAGACGTCAAGAAAATCTTGTTGTTTTTTTTTGCAGGCTGTACTAGCTGGTGATTTCATCCTGTCTTCAGCTTCTTTAGCTTTAGCACGGATAGGAAACACTAATATTGTATCAGTTTTAACTCAGGTGATTGAAGATTTGGTGCGTGGTAAGGTCTTTTTCTATTTTTATCTTCATATTTACTTACATAAACTATTAATCTAAAACTGAATACTTCCTTCTGTGTACCCCATGTAGGTGAATTCCTTCAGCTGGGCTCCAAAGAAAATGAAAATGAGAGATTTGCTCACTACCTCGAGAAGACATTTAAGAAGACTGCAAGTCTTATAGCGAACAGTTGTAAAGCAGTATGTACGTTCTGTCTCTTCTGAAGTTAACATATTATATAGTAAGCTTCACAGCTGGAGTGCTAATTGTGCTTTTCTTTGGGTGTAGTACAAAACAGACAACCAAATAGTATTGTGCCAGAATCCAGATGGATTTTGGATTAAGGTTTTTATCCCAATTCTGCTGTGGAGCCTAGTTTTCATCCACCTCTTTGTTTGTTGTGCAGCTACAAGATTCATTCTTGAATTTGCTCAAATCACATTAAGGTCCTAAACTAATTTCTAAAGATTTTTAAAACAATTCTCTTTAATATCATTATAGGCCAGTTGGCATAGGCAATGTGTAGGGGGGACACAGGGGGGGTATGTGCCCCCCCCCC